TAAATAGCACCTCTGAATAGGACTGTTCAACTCGGGTAGTAAATCACGCACATACAGAAAGGAGAAAGTGAAAGAATGTGAAAAGGTCAGGAAAGACCCAGTGCCATAATTAAAAGCAAGAATGGGGAAAGATGGGTTACAACTACAAGGTGAATCATCTTTTTTATTACAAAGAGCTATGTGATGGTTGGGATAGCGGGGAAGGGGAGGAGATGGTCACTGCACTGGTGTTCACTGGTTCTAATTTATCACATTACATTCTCGTCGACCGCTTTGACTTCTTCATACAAGGTTTTATGTTCATTATTTTATTACTCCTTCACGTTGCATGGCATCCTACAGTTTAGTTAACTGAAGACAATTATTCCAACATTTGGAACTACAGGGATTGCTGTGTTCTATAATTCTTTGCTGTAGACGAACCTAGTTCCACCTCCGAGACTCTCATTTTCTTCTTTCTATTTTAATTGTCATATATCATTGTTGCTCAGTTGAATCACATTTTTAATCATGCCTTCTATTTCTTTTTACTGATTTTGCTCAGAAGGTAAAGAAAGCATCAGTCGTGCCTTAGAGTTTCATTCTGAGATGTGGACACACTTTACAACAGCTTTTTAAGGGAGAGACTGAAGGCAGCGATTGGGAAAACATTATCAGGTGCTTTCAGGTCGTCCCATTCCACTAGTCACTTTTGAGCGAGCACCAAAATCCTTAATTTCAAAAAAATGTAATGTCAATAAGTATCATCAACATAGGCCTGGCTGTGGTAGCGCAGTGAGATGGAGACTATAATGGAAATAAAAATGAATATATATTCATATATCCACAACACTTTACTTATAGGTAAAAATGTTATAGATATATCTCAAACAAACATAGTTCTATATTATCAAAATTTCTTATGTTTCATATTTGTAATTTTATAAAGTAACTTTATTTGGTATTTGAAATATTCCACAATAGTGTTAATGTTTTCTGCCAAATTTGTTTATAAAAAGGAAGGCACATTTTTGGTAAAAGCTACTAAGTGCTGGGATACTAACATTATCTTGGACTAACATTAGCTTAGTCTTACAGTTTGGTCCCATGTTTATAAAGAACTGTGTTTCTGTGTAACTTACAACTATCATCACCATCATTGTCTGGATTCAAACATTATTTAGGAGTAAAAGTTACACTATAGACTTACTCTTTGCAGTTACATTTATCTCACTATATCCTGATACCCCAAAATGAATGACAGTCATTATGTATACTTAAAGATACTGATTAGCCATAATTATTTTTAAGATGGAAGGGTGAACTACAAATTAAACTCTTGAACTTTAAAGTGAGGGGAATGAAATTACTCTTTAAAATCTGAACCAGAAGATCATTTCTGTTGAATCAGAGCACAGACTCCCAGGCATCCCTGAGTCATGGCTCGGAGAACAGATTTAGCTTTAGAATACCGGAAGGTATTCAAACGTGGGGAAACAGTGCCCAAGAGAGTGTCCCTTCGATATCTGACCGTGTGCTGGCACAGAACATATGAAAAGAGAAGCCCAGTTTCTTGGGAGTGTGTCAATGTGGTGTGGGTGGGATCTCACTGAAGAAAAGGGAGAAAGGGAAATATTTTCTCTGGGCTGCGAAGAAGGACCAGCAATCTTTCGCAGCCTGGCGGGACTATGGTTTGCAGGGTTTATAGTATATAATCCAGACTGAGGGGTTCGGGAACAGCTTGAATCATCCTACAAATTATGATAAAGGAAGAGAATGAGAAACATGAACTTCAGTTGAAATTAAAAACTGAGAAATGTTGTGAGGATCCCAGGGACCTACAAAGAAGCACCTTGTCCCCAAGAAGATTAGCAGGGGTAAGAAGTAACACACTACCAGCAACAACCAATCCAGCACAAGCTATGTGTGTCTACACTTAAAGTATGACCCACAGATGGTTTTCACCATCTCCTCTCCAGCCCCTGCCACTGCCATCTCCCACGGGGACCACTGCTCTAGCCTGCTTCTACCCCATTCCCTCAATCCATGTTCCTCACAGCAGCAAGGGAGACGTGGAAAAATGTCCATTAGGGTGCCTGGGTGGCTCAGTGGATTAAAGCCTCTGCCTTCGGCTCAGGTCATGATCTCAGGGTCCTGGGATCGAGCCCCACATCGGGCTCTCTTCTCAGCGGGGAGCCTGCTTCCTCCTCTCTCTCTGCCTACCGCTCTGCCTACTTGTGATCTCTGTCAAATAAATAAATAAAATCTTCAAAAAAAAAAAAAAGAAAAGAAAAGAAAAGAAAATGTCCATTAGATCTTGCCACTCCTCTGTACCTCAGAATAAAAGCAAAATTCCTCCCTATGGTCTCACAAGGCCCAGTATATAACTTAAAGATGACTGACACCACACTTTCCCTCAGACCAACTCTCTCCTCCGACCACAAAGGCTCCTCCTCTTCACATTGAGTACGGTCCCTTGGCCAGGAATTCTCTCCCTTCAGGTGTTCACAAGTTCCCTCCTCTGCTTTCTCTGGCCCCTCTTCAAAGGTAAGGCCTTCAGAGAGCACTCCCCTGACTACCCCACTTCAGGTAGAAGCCCTCCCAACCCAAGTCATTTCCTGACATTTTATAGTATTTACCATCATCTGAAGTTGAACATACACACACACACACACACACACACACACACACACAAATATATATATATGTGTGTGTGCATGCGTGTATAAAATAAGTATTAACATCAAAAACTTATATGACAAGATCTATTTTGTCCTACTATTTACTCTTTTATTGGCTGCCTCTTGTCTCCTCCACTGAAACATACTATCAAGAATGCAGAGAGCTACTTTCTGGTCTCAGTAAGAACTACATTAAATTGGTTCTAATTTTCACTTGTTTTTTACTAGTTTTTTTATCTACTTTGCACTAATTCAGTGTAAGTTTTTAAATTAAAATTTAACCCCCCAGTGAAGTATTTTCATCTAGAAATTTAAAAAAATATTCTGATTTGTGTGATAGTAATGTTACAAATTGATAAATCAGTATTTTTTGTGTAAGTATAGTTTTTATTAACTTGGTTGGGACCCTTTCCTAAGACAGGGGCCCACTCATGTGGTAGAGGTAAAGACAGAAACAAGACACTGATGTGGCCTCTGGACAGCCAGTGACCTTCCTGTCCCTATGCCGTTTTAAAAAAATAAGAGTCCTTTCAATATCATCACAAATTGTCAATTTTCTTGGTTACCTGTGAGTAAAAAGAAGGGAATTATATAAACAGATTTGTCTTAATAGTGAATGTAACATTTTTTTTCAGAGATCTGTCTTTTCTTTCTAGTTTTCAGTGACTTGACTTAAACATACTAAAGATTTTAATTTATAAAACTTTCACTAAGGCAGTCCTCGGATCTGAACACATATGGGAATATCAAAAGCCTAACCAACTGCCACCATAAAGATGAAATCTCTTAGATATATTTATTAAAATTATAACACAGGATTGATGGCAAAAGACTCAAGTCTGTTCCAACACAGTCTTCTGATATAATAACAGTACTTCTAACCGTTACAACTTCCTGAAATCAAATTAAGGCCAGGATTCCTATCACACACACTATCTAGTGACTTCATTTCTATGAAGTTAAAATTCATACAAAGGATGAAAGTTCACGTTCAGGCGAACTGCAGCAGATTTCACTGAAAAATTCGAGGACTGTTTCAGCCTTCTCAATTTCCAAGAATAGTAAGGCTATTTCCAAGATACTGACAGATTTTAAATTGCCATAGCTTTGGTTGCAGCCCTTTCTCAGTTTTTGTATATCGAGAAATATCTATGTCAATTTCATGACCGAGTTTCTAGCATGTTACTAAAAGAAAAGTTATGTATTCCGAGTACTCCCTACTATTTCCATACCCTTCAATAAGTCAGTTGAGTGGTTGCAAGATTATGATTAGGTCATCATCTAGTGCAGCGCCCTACTCAGAGAAGACGCTCATTAACTATTTATTGAATGAAAGAACTGATGATAGAAATAAGGAGTATATAAATTCATTAGAAATCCCAAATGTGTCTTAGTCAAATAAGTCACAAATAGGCTTCTCTTTTGCAGTGAGGGTAATAAAACAAGATTATTAAGCAACGAAAGATATAAAGGGAATCTGTTGAATTTTGTATTAAAACAGAACTCTTAAAAATGCTTGAAATATAATTTCTGATCATTTATCATTTATTCTGCTTTATAGAGCTGCTGTGCCCTTATTTACATTAAAATATATGAGAAGTGATCAAGTAAGAAATAACTCCTTGAACTTAATGGTCGATGAGTTCTCTGAAGTAATTAGCAAAGACTGAAAATAAAACAAATGTTTCCAGAAGGATTCCGGTATCCGGTCTATAGAAACCAAGTGAATGTATCCAGGCAATAAAGGAATGTCTGGATATAAATAAATGCGAGGTCGGTGTTCAGAAGGCATCCGAACAGCGGGCAAATTGAGGAGCACCAGAAGAATCGATGGTTTATACACTTGGCTCCTGCTTTTCTTTTTTTCCTCTATTGGCCTGTTTTTTGACAGTGGTCCCTGTTTGGCATCAGCTGGAACTACAGGGAGGGTTCCTTAAATCCCATGAGAATGGAGAAAAACACCTCTCAACAAAACACTGAAAGTGCTAATGTAAGAAACAAAACAAAAACCAAAACCAAACAAACAAACAAACCCAAACTCGAACCAATTATATAATATTAAGAATCCAGGTTTAGGAATGAATCAACATAGATTTAAATCTCATTTGCTAGGCAGATGTGTGGAGGCAAGGCACTGCAATCCCTTGTGCCTCCGTCAGTTCATCTGTAAAATGGGGCTAACCCGTGTCACAGATTGATTACGAGGAAGAACCAAGAGCCTGGAACACGGGTTCTCAGTCAGCAGTGGCTCGCTGCTGTTACCGGCTGTCATTATTTCATCTTGGCCCGGCTCCGCGCTTCCTACGGCTCAGTGACAGACTGCCCACCATCAGAACTCACCCACGAAGAGCTGACTGTTGAGCTGTAAGAGGACGTGCCCGTCGGCGGGAGCAGGCTGCATCTTCGGTAAGAGCTGGTCCACTTGAAGAGACGCCTCCTTCATGTTCCTTTCCACCCTGACATGGTGCCACTGGTTGTCGTTGAAGTGCTTGGGTGACTGCACCGAGATTTCGAAAGGCCCATTCCCCACGTCAAATGAAAAGGTCACTACTGCTGGAGCTGGGAATAGGAGACATGAAGATTGTTCGACTTAGTCCATGTGCTGGACAGTGGAGTCCTCAGTACCCTTGGGCATATAGCACCAGGGCATAGCAACCACGAAACAGAAAGGTGATGGCTTAAATCTTACGGAAGGACCCGATGACATCAGTAAAGAAGAGACATGAAATGAGACCAGAAAGCACACTTTGAAAAAAACCCAGATTTTAAGAAATTCATCCTCAGAGTTAATTTTGCATATTGATAGAGCAAAACTATGTAACCAGGACAAGAAAACTAAATAGCATCTGGCATTTTATGTAAAAATAATTTTTATACTGATTCAAAGTTCATCTAATTTTAAAAGCATGTAATATACATTTGATATTAAGATACTAACAGTGGCCTAAAAGTATACCAACATTATATGGCATACGAAATTATATGGCTGGTTGATTTAAGTAATTGTGTAGTTAACTCAGAATTTTTAAAACATTTAATTTTTTGGGTTTAAAACTCTTCTTAAGTTGGTTTTAGAGAATACCAATTGTTTTCCCAAATTATCACGTTATATATTATTTTCTTGCAAAAAGGCCAATTTAATATCATAGATTTTTTTCCAAAAGGACACAATGAAAAGATTTAGCTGATAAAGTTGAAACACAGTCGTTTCACAATTAAAGGATTTACTATTAAATAGAATGCCACAGACTTCTAAGAAAAAGGAGACTCACAGCGTAGCTCTATCCTTATAAAATCGGTAATCCCCAGGTTCTCTAAAAATACCCCAGATGAAGCTGTTGTCTTAAAAAAGAAAGATACATCTGCACTAAGTTCTCCATGGAAAGTAGGAAAATGAAGGTATGAGGCCTCAGTATTGAAGGAAGCTGAATTCCAAAATGACCCTGTTTAAAAAAAAAAAAAAGGAAAAAATCAAAAAGAAAAATTCATAAAATAAAATGAATGGCATAATTACATTTTCTATTTTTAGCATTTCTATCATTAAAAATATCGCTAATTTATACAAACCTGCTTCTCTTTTTCTATTAATTTATTATACAAGACGTGAGTTTAAAATTGGTGATCTTACAAAGGATGGCAATCCTGGATTCCTTCCAACATAGGAGAGGAATGAACATGGCAGAAATGGTCTGAATGTCTTATTTTACAGAAGAAAATCAGCCTCACCCTAAATACTGCCCTCTGGCAAAGTGATATGATAAGAATCTGCCAACCATTAGTTAATAGACTTAATTTTTTTTATAACTTGAAAATTCAAACACCTACATTCCTTTGAATAACAAAAAAATCTAAAGAAGCTCAAATCACTTTTTGTTCTGACACTTCTAACACACACACTTCACAGACTCACACCTTGAACTAACTGTTTTCATTAATGGGCTTTGCAATTTTCTAAACTGAGACTGGCATTCAAAATAGTCTCAACTAATTAAAGATCAGACACTACTTAGGTCTGTGCTTTGCTGATCTCCTCATGAAAATGCTCTTTTCATTCAAAATTACCTTTGACTTTGCTTGTAATAGTGAAGTGGATAAAGAGCAGGAAGGGACTCTGAAAAAGTTTAAAAATGTTCAATATAAGGAGAAAATGTTTAAAAGGCTGGGGTATAAATGAAGAGATCTGAGAAAAACTTATGTGGATTGTAATTTAATTACAATTTCTGTCCATATGCAACTTCTTATCTTCACTTTCCATTCATTTGGCTGTTGTATCATCGACAACTTTCCTCTTGAAAAAACACGGTGGGACTCCTCTAGCTGGCCGTATGGGAAATAAAATATAAATGCAGAGGCATGAGGTGACGGAGTGAGATCCAAGTGGCTATGTGTGGTTGATGAGAAGCGCTATTAGAGAAATCAACTATGCATGCTGCTGCCACCAGCAAGCTCTCGACACATCAAATATAAATACATAGAGTTTTAAGCAACCTGCTTCCGTACGCACTCACAGCATTGGTTAAAATTCTATCTAAATTACCTTTCTGGAAGACGTATTGATCCACTGAAGTTAGAAAACAGTAATTTCAAAACAATGGCTCATTATGTTTTCAGGGAACAGATACCAGAGTTCAAAATCTCAAAGTCGACTCAGCTTCTATCTGTTCCTTAGATTTTAATTTATTTTCTATAAATTCTGGACCAAATAAGCAGTGGTTGTATCTATTTTACTTTTTCTGTTTTTCTTAGGGACCTGATTCAAAAGTCAATTCTCAGCTCATCTGTGAACAATTTTAGAGCTGAATTTATTCAGCTGAGAATACACTTTAAGGGCTTTTTTCCCCCCTACAGCCAAATGAAACTGTATTACCTGAGTTTGCCAAGCCTAGTCTTTATTTCCATTTTACAGTTATTTCTACGCTTAGACATTTTGATCTCTAGGAATGAATGCAAGAAAATGCAAAGTATCAAGTCAGGGATAACAACGCACTCGTGTTCTTAAAAGGTCTTACCTGACCTATTTTTAAAAGGATTTAACTGCCTTTCTGTTGAAATGTGATATACATGAAAATTAAAGTTGTAACTCTAAATTATGGAATATTATTGAATCTTATCCATTTGGTCAGATTAAAAAGAACACTCAGAATTCCTTAAGGGTTTAAATTAGATAATATCATTATTAGACATAATATTTCAGTTGTTTCATTTTAATATCATAACTAACTCAATAAAGCATCCTATCGAGGGCTTCAGGGAACTGGTCGAAACAAAGGAACAATTCTTTGAATGGCTATCTTCACAATGAATGTTCTTACAGCCATGGAAACAATATATTACCTTAGGTAGCCTAAACATTCTCACACACATAATTGTGTCTATTTTGTCTAGTTAGCAAACCTCATTGTGCAGATTCTCAATAGGTAAAAAATAGAGAACATTTGATCGGAGTAAGAAATTGCTGCTAATTCAAAACAATTATAAAGAAAGCAAAGGCCAATATTTCCATGATCGAATAATGTTTATGGCATATGATACCTCAGCTCTTTACAGACTGCTATTAAGAAGCACGGAGAGGAATGTGAACTGCCTCAGAGAAAGGAGGGGAAAGGGAGGGCGGCAGAGCGGAGCCCAGCAGGCGGGCACCAGCAGGAAGCTGCAGGTCTTCTGAAGACAGAGTTTCTGGCTAAGGTGGTTTAAAAATCCTTAAGCTGCACAAGTAGCAGCTTTGAATGCAATCACTTGCTGGATTAGTCAGGAGAGTTAGATCCCTTTTATTAGCCCAACAAAAGCAAATCAGGGTGTGTTATTCTACACAACTCACTAATGGTTGCAAATAATTTTAAGTCATTAATAATTAGTGTATTTTCAATTAAATTCAGTATAGTGTACTAAAAATTTGGAATGATTCCTTCAGGAATTCCACCTGTTCTCTTTCAAAAAAAAAGGGGGGGGGATGGATAATGGGATCCATAGAAGAAGGGGTAGGAAGGATTTAATTTAATTCCATACACAAAGTAAAAAGAGCTCATTCAGAAAAATTAACTAGGCAGAATGTCAAGATTAGAAGTAATTTAAAAAATATTCCTTTTGCTAAACTTTTATTTATATCATAAATAAACTGTCCTTTAAAAATAACAGATTTATTGAGACAGAAAGTAGATTAGTGGTTTTTCTAGGACTGGGGAGACAAGGCAGTTGGAGAATGATAGGCACTAAGGGGCGCAGAGTTCTTTTTGGGTGACAAAAATATTCTAAAACTGATTGCGGTAATGGTTATACAATGCTGTGAATACACTATAAGCCACAGAGTAGCTCATTATACATACGTGAATTATATGGTATATAAATTATATCTCAAATAAAGCTGTTTTTAAAAAAGAACAATATTTGAAAAAGCTGTTATTTTTTAAGGCACTCTGTTTTACTTTTAAAAGCGGAATGCATATGACATGCTAACACTACTACCTACCTTTCTTTCTTCCTTTCATTCTTGAGGTATGATTGACATGTATATGTAATGTATACAACTCGACAAGTTTGGTAACACTAAGTTTCTTATGTAAACAAAATGAAGCAAAATACAGAAACTCCAAGACAAGGGATAATTTACTAGTCACATATCTTTCTGAATGTGGAACAATCATTTTCAAGAGCCAGAAATACACTTTCTTTCACTAGTATTTTTATTTTGAGATAATTGCAGATTCTCGTGCAGTTGTAAGAAATAACACAGAAAGATTCTGTGTGCCCCTTAGCTAGTTTTCTCCGTAGGCAACACCTTGCAAAAACACAGCACACCATTGAAACCAGGATGTTAACACTGACACCAGTCAAGACGCAGGAATCTGTATTCCTTATGCTTCTCTTTTACAGCCACACTGTACTTCTCCCCTGCCTCCCCGCTTCTGTAACCCTGTGACAACTCCTAATCAGTTCTTTGATGTCATCTGAAGAATGTTCTATAAATAAAGGCTTATGGTATGTAGCCCTTTGAGACTATTTTTCACTCAGATTTACTCTCTGAAGATAAGGCAGGTTTGTGTCAGTAGTTCACTTCTTCTTCTCGCTGAGCAGTAGTCCATGTATGAAAAATTAGTTTAACCATTCTTCTGTTGAAAGACATCTGGATTGTTTTTAGTTTTCAGCAATTAACAGACAAAGCTGCTATGAACATCCATGTACAAGTTTTCATATGAATGTAAATTCTCAGTTCTCTGGGATACTGCCCAGGAGTACAGTCCCTGAGTCGTATGAGAGTTGAATGTTTGGCTTTTTAGGAAACTGCCAGACTCCTTTCCAGAATGGCTGTATCATTTACATCCCCAACAGCAATGTGTGAGGGTTCAGGTTTCTCCATGCCCTGGCCAGAATTCTGTGTCACTACTTTTTTTCCAGCCATTTGAAAGGTATGCAGTAACATCTCATTGTGGTTTTGATATGCATTTTCCAGTGGCTAGTGATTTTGAGGGATTTTGTGTGTTTAATTGCCATTTGTGGCCTTTTAATGAAATCTCTCTTCATGTCTTTTATCTAGTATATCTCTGGCTTATAGATGGCCACCTTCTCCCATGGCCTTTCCTCTGTGCACAGGTGGGAGGAGAAACTCTCTGTTGTCTCTTCCTCTTCATATAAGCACACCAGGCCAACCAAATTAGGGCCACACCCTTATGACCTCATTTAACTTGAATTACCTCCTTAAAGACCCCACCACTTAATACAGTTTTATTGGGGTTAAGACTTCAACATATAAATTTTGGGGTGGGGAAACAATTCAATCCATAACATCCATATTTTAATTGGATTGTTTCTTTTTTCCCACTGTTGATTTCTGAGGATTCTTCATATATTCTAGTTACTAGTCCTTCATCAATTCTCAGTCCTCACCTTACTTAATTGATCAAAAACAATTAACATAGTTGATTATTTTCCCCTCCTTGAAACATTTTTCTTCACTTGGTTCCAGAATACCAACACTCTTTTGCCTTTCTCATTAGTGCTATAATTCTGTTCCTTTCTTTCTTCCTCTTTCCCTCCTCAACCTATTAATGTTGGAACGTCCCCAGACTCTATCACTACACTTCTGCATCCACAATGACTCCTGCTGGTCCATTTCATGGCTTTAAATATGCTGATGACTTACAGAAACATATCTGAAGCCTGGAACTCTCAAACTAACAGCTCCACATCTCTATCTGTATGCCTCCATCATAACTTTAATATGTTCAAAAACCTGAGTTCTTTACATTTTTCTGCAACTCCTTGACCCCAGCAATATTCTCCCTCTTGAATAATGCCAATTTTGTGCCTCCAACTGATTATCTGACCAAAAACCTTGGTGTTATTCTTGATTCTTCTGCAACCTACATTGATCCATCAGCAAACTGTATTGCTTCTCCTTTTGAACTGTTCCCATACTACAACTATCATTATTGTACCCATGGCCTAA